TCACGCATAAATAAGTGGAACAGCAAACTGATGTTTCTCTCTCTCCCTTCCTCTTTCTCTAAAATCAATCAAAAGTTTTAAAAAATCACTCAATCCTCATGAGCCCCAGTTCCCTTATCTTTAAAATCCACTCTAAAAAGAACCTCACGGGGCTGTGACATGAATGAAATGAAATAATGTCTGAGGGGAAAAACACCAAAATGCCTGTTAAATAGAGGAGAGGGTTTTCTATAAGTCTGTCTTTCACTCTTCCTGGTTCCTTCCATTCTGTTAAAGGTGTGACAAGCTAACCTGTACACAAAGCTCATGAGTGTGGTACAGAACAGTATTTAAGGGCTCAGGTTTTGTGGCTGGAGGTGGATTTGAGTCCCAATGCCTCCACTGACTAGCTGTGGGACCTCAAGGTTAAGGTTACTTAACCTCTCAGGCTGTGTCTTCATTTGTTGATTAACTGTATAATAACAGAAATCTTCACAATGCTGTGGTAGGATAAACGAGGTAATGTACTATTCATGGCTTATAGTAGGTATTCAATTAATATTTGATGAAGAGATGAATGAATGATCTAGGAAAAGCACTCTGTGCCTGCACAGAGTAAGTGTTCAAGAAATAGTTGTTGTCAGGGTTATTTAAAAGAGCAAAGCACAAGAGTTACCTTCTAGGGTGTTCAGGGTATACGTTCTTATTTAGCATTTATCATAGCAGTTTATATTCAATTTTTATTTTAGCTATTCTTTATTATTGGCTTAGAATCTAATCTGAGGTTATTGTTTTTAATTTTCGTTCTTCCCTCTCTCTCTCATAATAATCCACTGCATTCATAGTTGTCTTCCACAGAGATGCCCTTGGCTCATTGGTTGCATTACCCCATGGCATCAGTAGAGAGTTTGTCCATTTGGGGTCAATAAAAGTGAGGCCAGAAAGGGTAAGAGATCTCACCAAACTCAGAGTGTCAGAATCAGTCATCAAGGGGAGAAAAATCAATCACAGGACTTCTAGTCAAAAGCTTTGTTCAAAAAAACATACTGGTCAGTAATAGCCATGTCATCTATTTAATGCAAAAATGTAATTGTTTTAAAATCTATGCAAATACAATGTTTTCCATCTTCAGAACTATCAGTCAGTGTAGACAGGTTCACTCAACCCGATATAATTATAAAAGTAAGGACTCAGAGATCAATTTCCATATGTTCTTGCCCCGCTTGTTAGTCAATGAAGGCGCATCCCACTCGGCTGGTTACTCCTCTGCCCGCTGTTCCATGGACAGAAATAGCCCGTGTATGTGCACAGCGTGGGTGTATGCACGCATTTTAGAGCACTCACTCCCTGTTCTCTGGGTCTAGAATAAGTGACTGCAGATATAGTTAAGATCCCCAGGAGTGCTGTTTTAATGCTGAATTTAGCACATCGGGGCAATTTCCATAGGAGCCACTTATGATGCCAGAAAACAAAGTTCGCACTTCAGTTCCTGGAGGACACTGAAGGGCACGACAAGATGATGGAGAAGTTTCTTTTCTAAGCACAAATGTCTGCAGCCATTGCAAGGGAGATGGCCAAAGTTCATTATTTTGGGGGAGCATTCCATAAATGAACGTTACAGATTCTCTGCATGCCGAGTAAATACTTGCTGCCTTTCCCAGCATTGTTTCTATGATGTAATTTCCATACAAGCTTCCTAAGGACATTTCCTTTCTCCCTAAGGATGCAATACTTTCTGTGCTTCATGACATTGTTGGAGAATTGGGACTTAACCAGTGAACGGGGGGACTGAAATGGTTCAACAAGAGGAATCAGTAAGCCCAAAGGCCTGGAGGGAAGGTTCGGCTGGGCAGGCTCTGGTGACGCACCACATTCAACCAGATTGGAGGGGAACACCCATCAGAGTGGGAGAAAGGAAGCCAACTGGCCATTTTGGGGGGATTTTTGCTGAACACTATGAGATGTTTCTACAAGATTCAAAGCAGGTGAGTGACATCATCAAGCTGACATTTTAGAAAAGCACACAGGTCACAATGAAGAGAATGGCTTGGGGAGTGCCAGGCTGCAGGCAGGGGGAGCCTTAAGAGGCAGTTGCCGTCATCCACCCTTTTAAAGTCAATGCAAGCCAAACTAAGACACTGGTGGAGGGGAAATGTGAGCGGGGGTGGTGTCGGGTTCAAGAGAAAAGACAAGAGGCGGAATAAATGGGATTTAGAGGTTAACTGGATTTATGCAGCTCTGCCCTGATGGCCAGGTCCCTCATCAAGAGACGTTCATGAAGACTGAGAAGGCAGAGTCAGAACAACATCAAAGAAGCCAAGGAAGGGGCGAGTGCCGAGCAAGAGGAAGAGGTAAAGAGAAGAGATACAGCAAGAGATCAAGTTACATAAGAACTTGAAAGTGTCCACTGGATTCCCTAGGGTTGGTGGAATGGACAGAAAGGGGACAGGACAGTAAGGAGGGATCCTGTGTGGTCAATCATTGGTGGGTTGGTTGGCTGGCATGAAATAGGAGACACTCAAACACGTCTACCTTCTGTGGGAAGCCAGTTAGAGGAGACACTGAAGAGACAGGATAATAAAGGAAATGAGTAATGGACGTGGTCCCTCAGGGCATGGAGCTCATAACCCAAGAGAAGGGATTACTCAGGGGCTGGGAAGTACACTTCCGCCACTGACAAGGGAGGGAGACAGTGAGGGAATGGATGAGTGCCCATGCGGATATTTTGTGAGCCAGGCTAGGCCAGGCTGATGGGGAAAATGTATGCATACAAATTATATTAAAGAAATTAATTTTATCCATAATTCTATTAAAATGTGTTGAGACTCCCACAATTTCCAAAGCCCAAAATGGTTGAGCTGATGGTGATGAGTTTTGCACCTTACAGTCACCAGTGGTGGGTATTTTCTATTTTAAAACACAGCCTGGCTTATTTTTATTATTATTATCTTTTTAATCCTCGCGTGAGGATATTTTTTCCATTGCTTTTCAGAGAGTGGAAGGGAGGGAGACACAGAGACAGAGAGACAGACAGAGAAACATCGATGTGAGAGAGACACATTGGTTGCCTTCCACACACGCCCGCAACAGGGCCGGGGATCGTGCCTACAACTGAGGTGCGTGCGCTTGGCCGGAATCAAACCCAGAGCCCTTCATTCTGAGGGCCAATGCTCTAACCACTGAGCCAAACCGGCTAGGGCCAGCCTGCTTTATTTTTTACTCAGCTTAATTTCTTTCAAGCTGTAGCCTGTGGGTCATACCTATTTCAAGCAATTTCATTTTCCTTAGGGTCAGGCTTTTGTGTCTTTGCCCCTCCAGAATTGGGAGCTGCTGAAAAGGTATTTGTTACAATCAATAATCATTTGAAAATAGAAACTCAGATACGTAAGGTGAGTCGCCACCTTTTAGACATCTTTCTGGGAAGCAACCTTTTCTCCTAACCATATCACACTGTAAGTGGGCCATCCAGAAGGATGCTTCAAGTTTCTATTACAGAAAATCACAATTTGATAAAGCCTGGTTGGTACCCGTGAGGTCCATTTCATCGGTAAAGCACCCGTTTCCAAATGGCATGTGGAGCAAATTCAATGCTGTGTGAAGAGCTGTTCAGCAAGGGAAAAACTCACACTAGGTGAGGAATCAATTACTGAAGGGATTACCCTCTCCAACCCATTCATTGTACAGCACATAAACTGGAGCCCAGAGTGCCATATGGTTAATTGGGATCAAGGCCAGGACCCAAATCCAGGTCTCCTGACTCCCCTCCCACTATTCATTCCTCCTCTCATAACATCTGTTTTTCCTGCTGGGAGGCAACATCTGAAGGGCCAGGGACCTCTTCCATCTTGTTCACTGAGGTATCCCCAGCATAGAGGTGCCAATCAAAACTATCTGTTAGTGGGTTAACCACAGTCAGGGTTCACTGCTGTTGGTCATTTGTGAGCTTTCATGCGGAACTGAACATCACAGTAAAAGGTCTCAACAGAGAGAAAGAGAATCACCATGCCATAAACACACGGCCTATGAACTCTGAAAACCCAGGGCTCTGGGAGTGACTTCCAGGGCGGAAGCCTCGGGAACAGCAACTGTAGAGCCACCTCTTGCTAACGGGATCTGTGCCAGGGGTTCATTACTCCTTGGGCTGGCAGGCACCACGCCCCCAGCCATCTACGCAGCCTGAGAACAGAAGTTTCCATGTTGCCTCTCGGGCAGCTTTAGCCAACGTGAATCCTCCTTGAAATATTTAACAGGCTCTCTCTTCTCCCCCAAACACTGTAACTGCGAAGCCTCCTTTCATCTCCCCATAATCAAACCTGCCTAGATTTTTCTGTGACTTGAAATCACATGTCCTTTTGCATATTCTCAATGCATTCCAGGGTCAGGGGACAGCCCCTGCCCGGGCTGCAGGAACTTCAAGGAGTTAGGGTTTGAAAGGAGCACGGGCCACCGCTGAAGTTTGTTTTTTCAAACAAGACCCTGTGAGGTTCTTCGTTTTTGCTGAAAACCATGTGCCGGCTTGATGCCTTCCTGCTCTGGTTGAGACCAAATGCTTCTCAAATGCATCTGTTAGAAGGGTTTCTAACGAGAATTATTATTTCCTCTTACCATTCTTCAGTTTGGGTTGGGTTTGGGTTAATTGGTTAATGGTGAAAATAAGTACTTACATTATTTGCCCCTACATCGGGAGCTGCGGCTGCTGCTTCTGCTCTATCCCATCACTGACAGCCTGCTGCGGCTCACAGCTGGCAGGCGGACTCTGCAGCCGTGCCACGTCAGCCGCACGGAACCTTTCTGCGCCAGCAACAGTTTCCAACGGACCGCTTTCGGGCGCGGCTCCTGCGGCTGGGAGCACGGCCCGGCCGCCATCTTGGGAAGGTCAGAGCGGGCGGCGCCGCGACCCGAGGTCCACGCGAGCCCTGCGCGGGACCCAGTGACAACTCCAAGGGGAACTTAGACCGTGCATGGACTTTCTAAACAACCACGACAGCAAGGTAATAACGGACCAAGAAAAAACACAAGAAAAAACAGAAATCGAAAAAGTGAAATTTAGAGACTTTTAATCAGCATTACGGGATATTAGTTCATTAAAAAAGTAGGAGGTTGGAGTGGCCCCAAACCGAAAAAGCGAATGTTCCTGAAGAAAGTGATGGTTGAATAGATGAGACATTTCTGTCGGGGGCTGTTAGGGTATCTAGTACCAAATAATAAATTACCGCTACATCAGTTGAGGGGTTTCTACAGCGTATCATTGAGCAAAAAATAAGTATAATATTATACCCTCTGGGGTTGCTATGACAAATTACGGCGTTAAAAAGGTATCCTATTACCCCATCTGCTATTATATATGCATATCTAATAATACGTGATTATATCCAAATATTTGTATCTATATAGATTAAAAAACATAATTTATATATGCCTGTTAATAATACCACGTCCTTTGTTTCAGGGAAAGAAGGTACAAGAATAACGGGTGAGGGCGGGAGTAACTTTTTAGGAGGCTTAACAGTAAGGCAGCGCCTTCTGCATTTCAGCCCAGGCGAAATCCCCTGCACGGGAGCCTCGCCTTCTGCACTTCAGCCCAGGCGAAATCCCCTGCAGGGGAGCCCCGCCTTCTGCACTTCAGCCCAGGCGAAATCCCCTGCAGGGGAGCCCCGCCTTCTGCATTTCAGCCCAGGCGAAATCCCCTGCACGGGAGCCTCGCCTTCTGCATTTCAGCCCAGGCGAAATCACCTGCACGGGAGCCTCGCCTTCTGCATTTCAGCCCAGGCGAAATCACCTGCACGGGAGCCGCGCCAGCGGGCAAGGAGAAGTAGGTGCACGTTTACAGGAGTGCTGATTAGATACCTTAAGTTGATGGGATACAGATGGCTTCTATTTTATTCTCTAATATCTTATATATTTTTTAATTTTTCAAGGAAAAAAATATTCATATAATCGGAAGAAACAATAAAGCCGTTTGTATTATGTGAAAAATGGTTGACAGCGGGGAACTTGCCTGAGCTCGTGCTTGAGTCCCTCTGCTGACGCTTCAGTAGGTCTGGGGTTTTCCTCTGTTACAGTTACGCTCAAGGACTCTACAGATGCTCTTGTGCGTATCTGGAACGAACAAGCCGTGGCAGAGAGATATGTAAAACACTCTTCCAGCCCAGACTTCACACAGCCCCCCTCCTTTGAGACTGATGTCAGAGGTGGGTCACATCTTCACGGCTGCCACGGTGTGTGGGGCAGAGGGAGGGCCCCCGCACATGTGTGCACAGAGATGTTGCTGACAGTGCTGTCCGCCCTGGACTGTCTCGGGCAGTGCCTCTAGAGGTGACTCAGAAATCACTTGGGAAAATGGCAATAGAGAAAAAGAAGAAGGGAGTTGGAATGGACCAACCCATCCTTCTATTTCAGGAGCCGAGCCAGAAATTGAGAAATAAATTCTTATGACCAATGACCAAAGAACCAACAGGAAGAAAAAAAAAAACATAATTAGAACATGGGAAAGGTCACTATGTAGTCACTGGCCACATTTTCTGAATTCTAATGAAGTGAGGTATATGAATGTACTTGGATATTAACGTAATTATATTAACAACATGGGTTTTTTTGTTAATTGAGGCAATGAGAACACTTGCTTTACTAGATTTTGACAACTGCCAGTCATATTGGACCAAGCTAATCTGTTCCTCTTTCTGTAACTATTAAGGTAAATANTTGTGCACCAAGAGGTGGTGGGATTCGATTCCTGGTCAGGGTGCTTGTGGAGGCAACCGATCAATGTTTCTCTCTTTCTCTCCCTCTCTCTCTCTAAAACCAATTTAAAAAAAAAAAAAAAAAAACCTTTTAAAAAAAAAAAAAAAAAAAAAAAAAAAGACGGTATAGCTCACTGCTAAATTGTATGATGTAGACTGAATAATATAAAACATAGGCGAGATGAATGATTCCACGATTATTCAAATTAGGCTTTCTAGAGTTTGATAAGTATTTCTTTGTAGCCTATCCTGTGTATCCCAGTCACTGGCTTAGACCCTAAACCCTCACTCTCTGAGATTATCAGCATCTCTGTTTTACAGGTGAAGAAACAGATTCACACACATAAAGTGACTTGCCCAAGGTCAGACAGCTTGTAAGTTTCCAAGTCAGGAACTGAACCCAAGTCTTTCATCGTCAAGTCCATGGCTTTTTCTGCAATGCACTGAAGGGTGAGTCGGGTTGGGATCGATAAGGAAAAACAAGGAGAATATTTTATGTGTGGGAAGTAGGATTAATATTTTATTATTACATTTATCTAATCGGCTCCTGAGAGCCAGCCTCTGTCCCCAGATGAGAAGCTGCTGTCAATCCTTCAGCTCTTAAAATATCTGGGTCAGTGAGAAGAGGATCACAAGGTCTCCTTGTGATTATTTTTAACTTACAAAAGAGAAAAAAAATCCTTTAAAGAAAAGGAAAGGATGAAAATTAAAAATAATATGAGAAATTTTACCAGCTGAATTCAAAGGGGAAACATTCGATAGGAACAGCTGGGTTATTGACCTGACTTGGAGCCTGCAGGGAGCAGTCCCTGGTGGGTCACAGTGGTTCCTGGCCCCACCAGAACTGAGAAGGGTGGCCTGGAATCTACATCAGAAAGTGGGCCTGGGACACAGCAGAAACTGAAGGCAGGGGCTGGTACCACTTCCTCCTACCTGCCTTTAAAATGGCATTGCCCTTGATCCTTTCTTCAGAGAAGAAAGGGGGAAAGACATTCAGGGAACCTGTTCCAGCTTCTACCACCAGCTTTTGCAATTTCAGAACAAAGGGAAAAACAGGGGAATCTTTTAAGCAATTGCCCTGTGTTATAGGAAAGTGGCACCAATTGACATGTGAATGCTCTTCTTATGAGAGATATTCTGAGTGCTGCTTGATGTTTTTTTGAGACAGATCAGCAGTAATGCAAACCCCCTGCCCAGCTTTCCCATCAACTCAAAGATACCAGGAATGAGGAAGCTGTAAGTGCCAGAAAATATGTCTCCCAGGACCTCTGAGGGAGAGGTTTCTGCAAAGCGACCCACTGTGTCATGTTTCAAAGACAGCAGAGAAAAACAGGCTTCTCTAGGGTCCAAGGCAACACTGGATCCCCTGCAGGAAAAAATGTGCCAGATACAGGCTTGAAGTCTAAGGAATCCACTCCCTGGTTGTGTCTCTAACCAAGGGCCCTTGTCATAGCCAGTGTTCCCTAAATGTTGAACATCACTGAAAGATAAGATTAGCATCT